TCTACAATGTAGTTACTATTTTTAAAATTACTAATAAAGATATGAGCAAGGCCTCACCATAACACCAAAAAAAAAAAAAAAGAAATGGTTTACTTAATAAAATTTTGAAAAAATAGCAATTGTTTTTAAGAAAAATTTGGTATAAGTGATCGTTGGGAAGAGTTAGTGATTTGTGTCCTAAGTCAACTACACTTAATAATTTCTAATTTTTTTTTTTTAATAAAATATCAAGTAGCACTACTATGGGGTTCGGGGCAGTTTCTAAATTGGAAAATGAAAATAAGTAGATTTTATTTAGTTGCTTTTTTATAGTTTTTTATCTGTCTAATACTGGATTATTTTTAAGCAGTTCACAAGACTTATTTAGTAATAAACTACATCAAAGTCTCCCACAATTATATGTCAGTCTTACATTTGATTCATGGGAAGATGTAGATAATTTTTTGGAATCATATAGAAAAAATAAAGGTTTTTCTTTTCGACAAAGTAGAACTGATTTTTATCCTGATTATACAAGTATTTATCATCATAGTTATGAATGTTCTCATTCAAGAGTATATAAAGCAAAAAAAGTAGTTGATAATACTAACAGTATAAACATAATTCTGTGGCAATTAACTGCTAATAATATGTAAATTTCAATAATCAAAAGGGCACCATACAAATAGTTTGTACTTTACTTAATGATAGCCACAAATATAAAATGAATCTTATTATTATTCAGACAGCACCATAGTTTCATAAATTGTCTAGTGAAATGTTAATTGATATTGAATTTTATATGCATTTAACAGAAGATATAGATGCTAAAATACAATACAATCTTTTAAAAGCAAAATATCCAGATAAGCATATTGATAAAAAAGATCTGTATAATGCTATTCAACGGTTTCGTATACCATTACATGAGAAAGTAAAAACAGATGCTGCAAAAACTCTTCAAAAATTAATAGCATTAAAGACAGATGATCTTGAATAGATAGTTGTACCTAATATTGAAGGTGAAGAAAAAGGTTAACGGCACTTTTTTGGATGTCTTCTTTACAAGTATCACTCTTTGGATTCAATATAATGAAGTAGTAATAACATATAATATCTGCAAAACAAATCGTTATGAAATGATGTTGTGTTTTTTCTTAATCATAGATAATAATACCTGTTTATATATTGTCGCACAGACTTTATTAGAAGACGAAACTCAGGCTTCCTTTGAATAGTTAGTTTTATTATTATTATTATTGCAGTGCATTCAATATATATTTTTTTTACTAATTTATTCATATTACCATTTTTACCATTCAATATTTTCTTCTTTACTTATTTATTCGTATATTTTTACTATTCAATGTTTCTTTTTTACTAATTTATTCATATTACCATTTACCAATGTTTTCTTTTTTACTCATTTTGTATTACTGTTTTTAATTCCTTTTTTTGTATTACCATTTATCTTTTTCTTTTTTATTTATTTAATTTATACTATCATTTCTAATTCTTTATTTTAATAACATTTCAATTTTAGGGCCTTAGAGCAATTAAACAATGCAACAAATCAAACTATTCCAAAAACAGTTTACATTAATGCTGATCTAGCAATAGATGCGGCTTTGCAAACCATATGGTCTAATACACACTATTCCTACTGTATTTTTTATCTAAATAATAATTTGTTAAAAACTCAATGCCATTATAAATAAAAATTTAATAAATGTTACAGATTATTTTATTGTTTTCAAAATAGTTTGTTTAAGATTGATTTTAAGCATCGTTTGACACAATTTGTAGAATTTCTTAATCTATTTCCTAAAGCATCACAATATATACTTGAAACACTTTATCATATACATCAAAGTTGAGCAGTTTGCTATATACAAACAAGATTTACTATAGATGTCCAAAGTACCTAAAGGGTTAAAAGTATAAATGCAATTATTAAGAAGGAAGAATCACACAGTTCAATATTGTTACAGCTAATTAATACTATACAAAACTATTTAGATGAGGAAGCACAATATGCACGAATAAATGAGCAAAAAAATATTAATCCTTCCATAGGCTTGCCTCATATTGCTAGTCGATACTTCTCTACTATTGATTTTCTAATTCAGGAATACTTGACCCCTCATATTCTCTCTCTTCAATAACAACAACTTTCTGAAAGTTTTCTATATGACGCTTCCGAAATATCATATGAATGAAATAATGATATGTCAGAACCAGTAAATATTATGGAGAATGGATATTTAGAGAATGATTATAAGCATTGCTAAACATGTCTTAAGACATTACTACAAACTTTACAATATGAAGATGTCATACAGATTTGGATTATAGCACCACAAGGATTATTTTTAGGCTATTTTAATCACCATGTAGTAATTCTTATAAACAAAACACATTTATGCACTTGTCTCACTTTAGTTAGTAAAGAAATAGTCTGTCAACATTTTATAAAGGTTCTAATGAAGTCACATCTCACTATATTTCACATTTCCTTGATATCAGCCTGTTGGTATCAAAATAGTAAAATAAGCATAGATAAGGATCTTATTTCTTTACATCCACCTATTAAATTGTATGAAGTTAATGAATCTTCATTGTATAACGGCACCTCTCATACAATTGATTTACAATATTTGCCTCAATTTCATATTTCTAATGTATTTACTCCTTCATTGCAAAAAACTTCAAATGAAAAAATGCATTGGTCTAAAGGGCATAGAATAGCAAAAAAGGCACTTAGTCTAATGATAAGACTTAATTGTGATGATGAATTTTTTGATATGTTGGATGAGTTTTTTTTATTTAAAACATGTGAGTTGGAACTTTTGGAGGAAAACAAGGATGGTAATAATGTATTACAACTATCACAACCACTACAACCTGCTATTATTAATCTGCTAGTGACAAAACATCGTGGCAGACCACCTAAACAATTCAAGAGTGCATTAGAAAATACTACAAATGCATGCAAAGATAAACATGATTTAATTACAGATAACAATAGGACACAAAAAAGAATAAAAATAAATATGCTAATTGTAGAAATTAAGAACATAATGTTCAAACTTGCTCTTATGCAAACTAATAAATATAATTAACATTATAGAATTGTTACATTTAGCTTGTTTTAATCTGTCTATTAATTGGTTGTTTCTCTTACATTTATAATCTATATATCTGAATTGTGCATTTATAACATTTTGCAAAAATTTCTTATTGATTTTGGTCTAAGTTTTTATTTGATGATAATTGTCAGTATTATAACAGCGAAATTAAAACTTGAAAATTATGTAATATAAAATAAAAAAGCATATACAATTTTGATAAGTTTTTTCTATTTTTTTATTACTAGTATCTTTATATAAAATAATATTAGCCTTTAATTGTTAGGACTAAGGAATATCGAACTCATTTTTAGTATCAAGTGAAACTCAAATATCTCTTAACCTTCAAAAAATTACAGTATGCAATATATATTTACAAGAGCATGTGTTAGAACTCATAAGGAGTTCAAATTTTATTATCTTCCTTTTTTTAATGATATTATTATTTGAAAGTTATCTTTTCATATTTCTTTGCTATAAAGCATAACATTGAGAATTTTATATTTGTTATCATTATCTATGTTTTATTAGATAAATTAATACATATGAAAATTTTGGCGCAATCAAATTGCAAGGTTTAATACAATTTATGAAATAGAATAACCAATTTAAAGTCAGATTAAAATTAGAGGAACCTATAAATCTATTAATTATATCAATATTTTCTGGTACGATACCAATAAAATTTTATTTTCAAATTTGTTAATATTAATAAAATTTTAGTTTATCCTCATTGACAAAATAGGGGATTATTTATCATTATACATTTTTTAAACATTTTTAAACCAGAAGTGTCTATTTTTAATTTGAACATTTTATGATTCACATCTATTTGATGTGTTAAAAATAATATTAATATCATGTGATCATGTGGAAGAATAGAGATAAACACTGCACTGATACTAAATAAACTTTAACTCTTGATTGAGGTATGAAAAGACTTGGTCAAAGTAACTAGGATTAATTAAAGCTCTAGATTATATCACAGGCTTTTAATATGAAGTCACAGGATTTAGACACTAATTTCTATCGATGATATAGATTTTACTTATTGGAAAAATTAGTAGAGCGAAGCATACTACAATATTGAACTCAGTTTTTTTTATTGAAGATAGAAGGTGTGCTTTTACACTTGTGCATTATTAGTGGATGCATAAGGGATATATTTGCTAAAGATGCTAAGTTTAATAAATTCACTAAGTTCACTAAAGCTATATACTAAGTTTTTTTTTAAATTCAGTTAACATCAAAAAATTCGGTAAGCAAGATATGCAAGAATCAACCTTCTAGGTCACTCAGAATAAACAGTTGGTTTAAGTTAGTATTGATGGTTAATTTAACCAATTCAAGCAGACAAATAGTCTAGCAGTGCCTAAGAAAGTGCATGCTTCCAGATAAGTATAATTTAATCTGCTGCTTATTAGATAATTACTAATAATAACTCTATTGTCAGGTTGAATATAAAGATATGAAACTCATAGTTTTATAATTTACAAAAGCGATCTGATGCTTGGTATGTTTGTAATTATCTTTATACGTTGATGGTGCATTGTAGAAGACCACTGATCTATACATCATAAATCAAAAAAATAATTTCTAAAAATATTTCTATTGGCAGGTTGAATATAAAGATGTGGAACTTCTAAGTTTTATGACCCACAAAAGTGATCTGGTGCTTGACATGTTTGTAGTTATCTTTATACATTGATAGTGCAGTGTGAAGACCACCAACCAATCAACTAGTGGTGCTCTACATTACAAATCACAAATTTAGTTGATGATGATAATACCTGGTGAAAATATAGTTGCTATTTCAGGTCTCAGTTTGTGCACATTCTCAAAAAATAATCATCTAATGAAAGTTTAATATCCTGCAATGTTGGCAACTTTAATTACATATATCAAATGTGCATAATACTTTTTAACAGGTTTAATAAACTTGAATTAATTAGTAAAATTCTAATAGAAGCATTTTTAATCAGGTCACAGGAGTTATTTCTGGTTTGTCTTGTAAAGGATAGTTTTGCTTCGATTGTTTACGCCTAAGACACTCAAATTTTCTGTAATAGTTTCAAATTAATCTTAAAAATAAATATATATTAACTTGGAACACTAACAAAAAAAAATAGTATTATCTTTTTTCCTGCTATATATACTAGTTAAACTCTTTTGACTCTTAAAATTTGCTAGAAAAAAAAAATCAAGATTCATTCAAATAAAATTGCAAATTTACTATACAAGTTTTGAATTAAGGCCAAAATAACATATAGTAAATGCCAACTATCCAAAATGTCATTTTTGATCTATCTAAATTGAAGTATATATTAACAAAAAAAATCGCATTGAATAGCTAATAGAATTTTCTTATTTTACTATTATCCTTTAATCGCAAAAATTAGCATCAAGATTAATACTTTGGATGGCTTGTATTTACTATATATCGTTTCAGCTCTGTTTTGAATCTATTATTAGCTTATTTTAATGGAGTAGAATTCGAGATATAGCTTTTGTTTGCCTGAAATATAACAGTAATATTGTTTTAAAAAGTAATTGTATATATATATTCTAATATGTATTTGTATGTACGTTTATATATATATATATTAACAATATTAAATATGCGTAATGCATAATTGTTTGCTATTATATAATTTTGTATGATTTAATGCTGAATTTCTTAAGGGTAGGGTGTACGTAAATCATTTTTCATATGATCTACGTGGTATATTAGATTTTTATATAGTAAATAAAAAA